CAGCCTCCCGAAGCTGCTGGGATTACAGGTGCTTGCTGCAATGCCCAGCTGGGTTTTTCCATTTTTTAGGAGTCGGGGTCTCACTCTCGCTGAAGCAAGTCTCAAACTCCTGAGCTCAAGCAATTCTCTGCCCTCAGCCTCCCACAGTGCTGGGATTATAGGTGTGAGCCCCGGCACCTGGCCATTCTTGAGCATTTTTAAGTGATAAAAATACATATTGAAACTTTTATCTATGTCAGGAACCTTACTATTTCACACTTGTTTAATACTGAATTTTAAGCCAGCATATTGTTTGGGTTTTGTTTTTCTTTTTTGTCTGTTTGTCCCACGATGTTGCCCTGGGGTTGAGTGCCACGGCATCATGATAGTTCACAGCAACCTCAAACTCTTGGGTTCAAATGATCTTCATGCCTCATCCTCCCAAGTAGCTGGGACTATAGGCTCCAGCCACAAGGCAAGCCCAGCTAATTTTTCTATTTTTAGTAGAGACAGGGTTGCACTCTTACTCAGGCTGGTCTTGAACTCCTAAACTCAAGAGCTCTACTTGCCTTGGCCTCCCAAAGCACTAGGATTACAGGTGTGAGCTACAGTGCCCAGCCAGCATATTGTTAATATAGCCACCTCACAGCTGATTTCAGCCTTCACTTCTTTTTTTTCCAGATTAATATATGGGTACACATGATTAGGTTACATTATTTGAGTTTGCTAGGTTAAGTCCAGTTGTAGCTGAGCCCTTCACCCTGGTGTGCCAAATACCATTACACTGTAACCATTAGGTAAGAGTTTACAAAGCCCACCCCCCCCAAGCCCTCACTTCTGATTTCTCCAAAGAATACTACACATGTCTACCAGTATAATTCTCTAGTACTATTTCAATCATGGTATGAACAAGTCTCAAGAAACTTCTAGGTTTTTCAGTAGGTACGTTATTTTGGACAAAATACATAGTCAGAAGGCATAAATTTAGATCTGGATATGTTCTGTTCCTTATTATGGAGTTGACCTTTTTAACCTGTTTAACTTCTTTCAGCCTTAGTTTTATGGAAAAGTTAATAACTAGACTAAAAAGTAATGAACAAGAGGAAAGGCAAGAAGATATAGAAAATAAGTAATGTGGTTATGGAAGCAGTCCTAGCTGCTTTACATCTAGTTAATTTTATCATCTCTCACCTTCATTTTCCTTATCTCCAAAATGAGATCATAATAATGCCTGAACTACACAGCTCACAAGGTTTTTGAGGATCCAATCGGTGTACATGAAAGCACTGTAAGAGTTTCATGTGTAGGGTACTATGGTGAAGCAACAGAAGTACATCACTGAAGAATACAGACCTCAGAAAGATGAGTTTTAGTCCCAACTGGGTCGTGAATTATTATGTAGAATTAGTACATTTCTTCTTTTTTTTTTTTTTGAGACAGGCTCAAGCTGTCACCCTGGGTAGAGTACCATGGCATCACAGCTCACAGCAACCTCCAACTCTTGGGCTCAAACAATCCTCTTGACTCAGTTTTTCTATTTTTTAGAAAAAAAAATAAGGGTCTACTAAATGAGACCCTTTAGTACAGACAGGGTCTCATTTTTGCTCAAGCTGGTCTTGAACTCATGAGCTTAAGCTATCCTCCTGCTTCGGCCTCCCAGAATGCTAGGATTACAGGTGTTAGTCACCGCACCCAGCCGTAATCAGTACATTTCTTAACATATTAATATTTTCATTCATAAGACTTAAATCTCACTTTACTAAATTGCCTCCTCTCATAATCCTCACTCTCACTAATTCCCATTCCTTCTCATAATGAACTTTCATTCTAATAATGGTCATGTAATTACTAAAGCACTCTGTAAAACTTGCTATCTCCCAAATACTTTCTTCTACATGTTAGATGTTCTCTATAATCTTTCTTCTTTCATGTTCCTTTTCTCTATTCAAATTCTCAAGAGTGTAAGTCATAATTAATATTACCTGGAAGTTGATAAGCATTTATGTATGACATTCCTTTACATGCAATTAAAGTTATGTGTTGACTCTCATTTGCTTGACTTAACAAAGAAAATGACAGATTGAAAGTGAAGAATGAAAAACAGGAAAGGTGAATGGAGAAGAAAAATAAGAGAAGAGATTGAAAAAGGAGACCTAGTTATTTTCTAAGTTCATCTTACTCCCCAACTAAACAATTACCACAATTTTTCATGTATAACACACTCCTGTGTATAACGTGCACCCATGTTTTGGGCCTAAACTTTCAGGAGAAAAACTCCTTCATTTTAACTTTTTAATTCAAATTTTTATTTGTTTATATTTAGGTACTTGTTTTTTATATAAAAGG